GGTGATGCAGTAGAAACAGTGGTAAAAAGCTCCACAATTTCCTACAAATGTCCTCCCCTATATCTGTGGCATTTACCTTTGAAAGGAACAGTACCATCCTCAGTGCAGAGTTACGTCACCTGCCGTTACAGTTTCTACATGTCATTAGAGTTCACTGAAAATGATACAGGCTTCTGTGGTTTGTTGACTTCACACTAATACAGATCCCAAGATTATCTCCTGAACTTGCCTGAATAAAGCGTGATTCATTCAAGTCAGAAGATGAGGTGACTGTATACCTTTATTTTATTAACATATTTTAAAATGTATTTAGGCCAGCATCTTTATTCACAGCACATACAGTCAGAGTAAAAAGTAAAAATAAAAATTTAAAAAATTTCAAATCATTTAAAAATTCAAATCATTGAATCTTTTATTTCTTTCTACCATTCTATATATTAACAAGATTCACATTTTCTATCAGTTCCAGGCTACAGCTTGCTGTAAAATAACATTGATCTGTTCATAAATCCAAGATTTGTTCAGTTGTAGTGAAGGCTTGCATTTCATGATTCAGTGTGAAGTTTGATTGTTCTGTTTAGTATTTCTATAGCAGTAAAGAACAAAGAGACATTGGTTTTAAAAGGAGGGATGGTACGATTTTGGCCACAAAGATATCTGCAAAACAGGAAGCTTTTCCCATTCTGCTCGACTGAGTCATATTTTGTTCTTAATCACATTGGTATAAATGTTGACCAACTCTGCAAAATTCTGGTAGGTTTATACCAACGATAGATCAGAATCAGGCCCAGATCTTTAGCATGTGATTATTTCCAGGTTTGTTTCTAAGCACACTAAAAGAAGAAATACATTGCAGAAGTTTGTATTGACTGATATTCTTGAATTACACATAACTGCAGGTTTAACTTGGACCCCGAGAAGAAGTGCACTGACAGCATGCTGTGGGAAGCATTGGAAATAGCACAGCTCAAGCATGTGGTGAAAGCGCTCCCTGGGGGCCTAGGTAATGAGACTTCCTTCTTGAAGAGATTGCTTCCAGTGTTCACAACACTGCTGTTTCACATTTACTATTTATTAAAAAGGTAGCTGCTGAACAGAAAGCTTTTTAGGTTTATTGACAAAAAATGCTTGCCTGCAGGCAAAGGTCCTATATCTATCGAACTCCCTTATCAACTGCACCTGGAGGGCAAAATCCTGCTTCTATTCAATTCAATGTTAAATCATTATTTTATTTCAGTACATCTTTGTTACAAAGCATTGAGGTTTATGGGTCTTGTGAATTCAACTGAGATGTCAGCAATGTTATCTAGAATTACATTCTTTTGTGTTTTCATAGAATCATAGAATATTTAGGCTGGAAAAAACCTTGAAGAACATTGACTCCAACCGTTTACCTAGCACTGGCAAGTCCAATAATTATGTCCAGGGGAGATGATTTCAAAAGCTTTAAGCTGTGAATCATTTGACCATGTAAAAAAAAAAAAACCCCAGCAAAACACAGAACCCAAAAAACTTGCCCAAAACCTTAACAATAATAAAGCTTTAGGGTAAAGAAGTGATGGATACCACTTTGACAGATGTTTAAACTTGCACTTAAACATACTACTACTAGCTACTTTGATCTCTAATAGATATAGAGAATATAATGAGACTGAAGTATTGGTTGTTTTGAGCAAAGGAAATAAACATGCAGCTACACAAGCAGCTGTAGACCTAGGAAATGTTACTGTGAAAGTCTTTATGCTGAAAGTGAGTCATTATTTTCCAAGCATATACTCTACTCTGATCTGAGCCTCTCATACACACACGCACACCCCATAAATACTGGTTTTGCTATATCATTTCCAGATGCTATAGTCACAGAAGGGGGTGAAAACTTTAGCCAGGGCCAAAGACAGCTGTTCTGCCTAGCAAGGGCTTTTGTGCGGAAGACGAGCATCTTCATCATGGATGAAGCCACAGCATCTATTGA